CCGGCTCATGTCCAGCTTTTCATCCATCAGTGCCCCCAAGTCCCTCTGGGCAGGGCTGCTCTCAATCCTTGATCCCCCCAGCCTGTATGGATACCGGGGGTTGCCCCGACCCAGGTGCAGGACCCTGCAGGTGGCCTTGGTGAACCTCATGAGGTTCACAGGGGCCCACTCCTCCAGCCTGTCCAGGCCCCTCTGGATGCCATCCCGTCCCTCCGGCATCAGCCGCACCACTCAGCTCAGTGTCATTTGTCTCTGCCTAAAGCTAGTCAGCATTATTCAGTTTTCCAGCGAGATGTGATTCAGCAACACACGGCAATACTCTTTCCTACAGGAGAGGAGGGCATTTTCAGTAGCCAGTCTAGTCTACAAAAAAAAAAAAATAAATCAGCTTTTTTCTTACTTGGCCCTAACACTTTGTAACAGTAAAGAAATTCCCTCAGATTCCCTGGCTCTAAAATGAATGATACATAGTGATATAGAGTATTAAGATGATAAAGTAGGGAAAAGAGTCGCGCACTTACAGGGTTCATGTAGTCCACTGTCTATGAAACTGCCTATGAGGCAGTATTTTTCCTGCCTGATGGTGCAAAGAGCATCATAGAATCACAGAATCGTTTACGTTGGAAAAGCCCTTTAAGATCATCAAGTCCAACCGTTCCCCTAACCCTGCCATCCCACCGCTAAACCATCCCTCTGCCTCTCACCGAATGCTTTACATTACTGCTGCTCCTTGAATGTTCGAAAGATATTAAAGCCACAAAATGATGGTATTTGAGATGGAAAAGGATAAAAATGAGCGAATGACTGAGAGAGTGTGTGTTTGTGCATATATATACATGTGCATATATGTGTCTGTATAGATGTACACACACCCACAAAAATGTGTGTAAAGTACTTCGAGCTCCTGGACTATAAAACCAATTGTAGGAGAGAACAGCAGGCTACCGTTATGTCAGTGTGACTGTTAAGAAAACAGAAAGGGAAAAAGTATCACACATGGAATTATTAAAAAAAAATGTAAAGAAAAATTGATTTATCTTTGCTCTTTGTTTCAATAGCACCGGCGATGAAAAGACACGTCTATTATCCGGCTGGCTTTGAAGCCTGGTTCTAGGAACAAAGCAAAAAAGACAAGTTTTCTGTATTGGTGTATGTGATTCAGAAATACGGATGGAAGGATGCAGACTGAATTGATATCTATCTCACCCCTTGTGATCATTGCCTCCACTTCAATCTCAATCTGGGTCATACCGCACTCAAGTGTGACAAATATCTTTCTCGAGGTGCCAAAAATTCAAGGTCTGATTGTTAAAATGAAAACATCCTTGGAATACAGTTTCAATACTGACAGGCATTTCACTCCGTTCTCTCTTACAGAAAGCACGGGCTGAAGGCTTCCCTCACTGCTTCAAACAAGACTTCAAATTACCGAACCGACGTCCACTGCAGGCACGAGAACACATAGACACCTGACCAGATGAGCTCAGAAATCAAGTTTGTCATCTTGTCTGCAATGGATGTGTAAGAAGCAGATGCAAGAAACCCTGCAGATACGGACTGGGCTGAAGGCGTTTCAGTCCTTCGCAGGTAAAAAATGGTTTTAAATCCTGATGGTTTTACCGATCCTCTCCACATGGTTAACAGGCGTACATAGAAATGCTATTGAATGTTATCTAAAAGAGATCTTGAACACGTATGCAATCTTCTACACAGCTTCAGCAAGACCCTTTTGACAATTCTATACATGTAGTGAGAAAATATACAACACGATTTATCACTTTTGAACATGACCTTTCAATTGCCCCATCTCCTCACCTTCTACAAAGCCCCCTGCCTTTTGTAGACCAGTGTAGCTTCTCCCTTGCCATCCTCCAATAAAATCTGTTCTGGGCTTTGCCATATCCTTATTTCCTTTTTGAACACCTTTTAGTTCTTTTTAGAGCACCCGTTTTCACGTAGGAAAAGCTGTACTGAATGCTCTTTTGATTCCAGGTGAAACACGATTTATTTTTTTCTGTTAGTCAAATGTTTCTTTACGCATTCTTGAACAGAATTTCACTAACTGTCCACAATAAATGGCAGGGGACATAGTCCCAGACTATGGAAAATGTATTTCTAATTTCAGCAACTAAATTGATCTAAACCTGCTATTCATATATCTATTTAAATATGTACTGCTAATTAGAGCCAATAATGCCTAATGAAAGAATACCCAAGCAGATTTTGAACGTTACTAAAGGTAGTTTCGCATAGATTGGCTGTTCTTATGGGGGGGGGGGGGTGGGGGGGGGTTATTCCTGTTGATTTAGCAATGGGGATCTTCTGGAAGTCGCAATTTCCAAAAGAGACTTCAGATCATTAGTCCCATTGCTCCCAAAGCCTAAATCACTTTAAAGATTGGCACTTGTATTTTTGTAGGTTTTATTTAAAATTTAAAGGACTTGAATACTGGTATACAGTAGTTAGTTGAGTAACAGCAGTTCTGAACATTTCTTCATTAGTTCAGAGTGGATATATTCAGTTGAGGTGTTACTGCTATATTCACCCCTTGCTTCTTCACTGGTCTGAAATCAGAGTGGGCGTCCTGGGGTCTGCGTGCGCACAAATGCCTGACGTCATACCAAGACCATCAGTTTTTACAACAGTTTTGTTCTTAACTTACGTGCACTGGGGCAGAAGGCCAATACATGTACTTCTATTTCGATCCTTAAAACCAATCCAGATTTAGAGGTGAACCCTTTTCTCCCGAGAACTCTGCTTTTATGGTTATAAAGCAAGTTAGATTAATGAACTCTTGGGGTATATTTACTGTTAAAGTTCATTATGGGAAGGTATCAAATACCGGTTGTCTCCCCGAAAGGATTTTACTGCAGAAATGCTTCTTTTAGCACACTAGAACTAAAAGACAAAATAAATAACCTTCTTCTGGGGGAAAGAGCACTGGAAAAGGGAATCCATCTGCCAACTCAAGTTAGTTTACCCTAGCCATCAACCAAAAATATGCCAGACTTCCACTCCCAGCATAGAAGATTTCAGTCTAGTAAATGTAATAATACATCTCACGGCATCACAGTTGTTGTTTTCTGATGTTAGAGGTAAACTATGAATCACCTCCTCCTCAGCCCTCTAAAGCGGGCATCTTGGAAACCATGATGTAGTGCCTCAAACCCTTTGAGCTCCTCTAGGCGCCCCAGCAACCACTTCACAATATATCACCCAAAAGTCACTTCCATTTCATCACCAGAGCATAAACGGCTCAAGCCATAAAGCAGCGTACCATCTCTGCCTAACTTGGACCCACACAGATGAGTCTTTTGCATTGCACATGAAAAAAACCATCATTCGAAGGAAGCCCAAGATCGCACACAAGCAACTGTGAAGTTGCTTTCATCATTCAGGAGGAATCTGCTGGGAAAAGGCAACTAGAGAGGACAGAAAACAAAACAATCTCCCATGTTCAAGACCAGAGAAAACCACAGACCTACAGTTCACTCTGTGCAGGCGATGATGAAAAATGACTGCACTTTCCTCGCTGTTACATTTAAGAGCGCTGGCTTGATGGGAGTATGGAATGACAATAAGCAAATATTTCAACTAAAACCTACATTTAATTCTTAACTTTGTCTTCAAATTCTGAAAACAGTAAGCTGGTAAAACACCAACAAAATGACAGGCGAAGCATCAGAAACAATTCAACTAAACAGCATAATAACTCACAACCGTCTTAACCTGCCCGCTAGTACTGCTATTTATCATTTACATTCCCAAGTCAAAAGGCAGAAGTTCAAAACTACCAGAACTTGCAGCCATTTCCAAATTTTATTTAATAAACA